CTTGACGAAGAGGCGACACTAGCATGGCAGCCGAGAAGTCATCGACTCAGAGTAGTAGAAAGATTGGCATAGTCTTTAGGACCAGCACGACAATAATACTACTCGAACCTGAGATCGATGTGGCTGTGCTAGGCTAAGTCTACCCTCAATCAAGTGAGGAGAGAAAAGAGAGTGAAAATAAGACACGACATGAAGAGAGATAGGGTCCAACGGCATTAGGCGTTGTCACTCATGACAGTAGAGTAGCAATGGTATGGCCCTTGGGCGGCGCTCTACACTACTGCTCATGGTTAGAGAGTGAGAAATGAACTACAGACGACGCTAGGCATCACCGTTGGGCAACACAAGAAGACAACACACCCTCGCGCGGGTGGTGATAGTCTCTGATGAAGCGCGCGACGTTAGTCATTTGTAAAGGGCGCGACAGTAATCCTCACGAGGCGCACAACGACAGGCGTGGGACGCAGGAAGGATGGCGATAAGCACCGAATACACGAAGGAAGCTCGCGGACAGTGATAGGTGTTGCCGAGGCCTCTAGCAGGCGGTGATGGGTATCGCCATCTACTATAAACAAGCAACGGGGAAGGACCCCCTGTGGGCAGCAACAAGTTTCGCTGTCTAGGTTCTTCACTAAGACGTTGAAACTACGTCTGTGGATGGCGATAGGCAGTGCCATCTACAGGCCTCACTGGAAAAGGGAGAAAGAAGAACATAAAGAGGAGACTCGCGCATGGTGCTGCCATCACCATGCGTGACCTGTGTGACCTCAGAGGAGGCATGCATGGCACTGCTACTACCGTGCATGACCCTGCGAGGAACTTAGACAGAGAAGAGGGACAAGAGAGGAGAGAAGAGATAGAGAAGAAGAAGAAGAAAAGAAGAGAGTGAAGGTTTACCTCGAACCTAGGGGTACCGATCAAAAGTTTCTCACCTCACACTCTCTCTCGAACGTGACCCAACAATGAGAAGAAAGAGAAACTTGTATTAAGTTAAAACTCTCTTTTGTGAAAGGCTGAGTCCTCTGGTGCATACAATGATGGTAAATATATATAGAATTTGCCCTAAAATAGGTGGATGATCAAAAGTAACCCTAATTGCTGAAAATTAAGATTAAATTGAATTAAAAGAAATTAGAAAATAGGGTACAAAATGATAGATTTGCCCCTTCCTAATAATTCATGGAATTCTAGAACAATCCCTGTGTTGCCCTAGAACTTGCGTGATCTTGCATGGATGATCCGTCGTCGTTCTGATGCCTGGTTGATCGTAAGATGATTGTCTTCTTGTAGGGCTCGACATGGTGATCGATTTGATACCAATTTCGAGCCATGGATCGTGTTTTTAGTGTGCGATAATGTGTCTTGAAATTTGAATAGATCTTGAAACTTCGGATCGATAGTGTACTCGTTCTTGGATGTTTTTCGGTGGTTTCTTCACTGAACTGAGCATGATGTTACGACTGTGGGACAACAA